CTGCTTGTTGCCTAATTAAGCAGTTAAATATCTTTGACATATGCTCACTGTTTAAATTTTTGAGAATTTTCCTTCTAACTCTTTGAAATTCACATTTGACGAAAATGACAAGCTAGAAATAATATATGTTGTGGTTAAGCCCCAACTACCCCCAAATAAATTTAGTCTATGATGTACCTGGTATAACACACAATTAAATTTTAGAAAATTAGACTTTTAATGATAGTAATTTAAAAATAATGTTAAGGAGTTTTATCTTAATTGACTTTTTGATGACAGATAAACTTGATTAGATAACGAGAAGATAGTAGGTAGTGAGGGGGAGGCAATTATAGTCATCTATTCTAATAGGATATCTTACATGTGCTCAATACTTTTAGACAATTGATCCCATTGGTTCTTTATTGTCCATACTTTTCTCAGAGCTTCTGGTGTTTGCTTCCTCAATGTGAGTGTATTCCAAGCATGACTTACATTTTTCAGTTACAGTGTCCTTGATTACAAATATTATCTCCACATTATGAGGCAGGTCCTCTTATCTACATAACTGCTTTACAAACAGGAAACCAAGGCATGAAAAGTTAAGGAACTCACCCACAGCCATCCAACTAATAATTGAGAAGCAGAGATTTGACCTCAGGCAGGTTGAGGTCAGAATTCACCTACTTAATCTCAACTCAAGCAGAGCTGACTCTCAATTCTGGCTTTGCAAATAGAACTCACTCAACCTTGGCTGCAGGGAGGGAAGATTGAGGTCCAGGAGGGTTCCAGCAATTTGTCCAAGGTTAGCTAACTAATTAGGAGCGATTGGAATTATTTTGCTAGTTCACAATAAAAAAAGAGAAGGGAAAGAGAAAGTTTGGGATATAGAGAGGGATTGAGATATTGGGATAATTGAGCAAAAGCTGCAAGAGAGGAAATTCAAGGGAGAGGAAATCGTTAACAAAGGTGAGTTTGCACATTGAAAAGTTGCCTCAGGTAGAAGTGACTGAACTATGCATAAATAAAGGTAAATTGAAAACAGAGATAAGGCTGAAGGAAAAGCAGAAGATTGTGAAAGCACCTTTCTGTTAGACAGTTCTCTGGGAAGGATGGCTATTGTGTGCAACTTAACCCAGGGCAGCTGAGTTATTGTCTAGAGAAGCTGCAGAGCAAAGACTAGAGAGAAGTCAGCAGCAAGGAATAAAATTTGGAACACTGAGCTTCACTTCTTTGGATGTGTCTCCTCAGTCATTTATATCTGTCCGCAATATATTGCTATACGAAAGCACATGTTTTCGTGAATACTGTTGCTGATGATAAAACTTTCATTTCATAATAAAATAGGTAATTTTTAAATTACTTATTGCATAAAACATTTTTCTTTATAAGCCTTCAGTAGGTCTTCCAAGAATCCATTGTCTGCCAAGCCCATTGCAAATTGGTGCTAGAGAAGTACAGAAATTTCCAACTGAACAAAAAGAATCTAGTGCATAACAATTATAATTTGTTGACATCTACTTATCCTGATTGATGTATTAAAATAAATTAGCTTGTTGAATGTCCTTATTAGGAAAGGCATGATAAAATATTTGGGAGCGAAAGGTCATGATATTTTCATATTTTGAAAAGGTAAGAAAATACGTGTGTGTGTGTATGTGTGTGTATAATAGAGAGAAAACAAATGTGGCAAAATGTTATCAATTGTTGAATCTAGGTGGAGGTTATACAGGCATTCATTGCATTATTCTTCAATTTTTCTGTAAGCTTGAATTTTTTTATACAAATAGAAAGATAAAAAACAACGTATTGAGTAGAAAATAGTACTTCAGCTTTTGGATTATGCTCTATATCCAGAATTGTAGTCTTGAATGTTCTTATTCTTAAATCAATGATTGTTCCATAATTTTGTCTTACTTTTAGACATTCCCTTATTCTGGAATATTCTTTACAATTTTGATAATAGCTATTTTTTTATTTAGCATTTATATTATACGTTGGGAATTTTACATTTATTATCACTAATCCGCATAACAATCCTGAAAGGTAAATGTTATTGTCTCCATTTTTCAGATGAGAAAATGGAGGCTCCAACACATTGTTCTCTCCCCTTGGTCACATGCAACTATAAGTGTTGGTGCTCTGATTTGTGACCAAGTGTGTCAGAATCCAAACTGTCCTCTTTTCATTATATCACCTGCTTCTCATGCTAAGAGATTCATTTGCTGGTGGGTGGATGGGCAGTGGTCCTTTGGAGGAGAGCCCCTTATGCCAATTAGAACCTATTAAAATGATACTCGTGCAAAATGAGCAAAATAAACTAGTTCTGTTGCATTTATCTGTATCTCAAAGTTATGGAAATCTGAATGCCTCTCCAAAAGAACCTTCTAAATGCAGGTTCATTGCCTTATTTAATTGGCTTATCAGAAACAAGAGGTAATGTATCAATTGCATGGTTGATAGCACTATTTCAAAACATGTTGGCATTTGGTTGTTTCCTCAAGTTTCCAAAATTTTCCATGTTCAAGTATTCATATTCTTATCATTATGTGTCACTTTCCTCCCATAAGGCAAAGCATCATTTGTTCAACAAATATTTATCCAGCCCTTCATAAGAGTTTGGCATACCATGCCTTCATTTTACTGAAAATCCTGTTTCAATCTTAACCACATTTTGCTTCTGTTAAAGATAATCATATTGCACATTTTTTTCCTTATGATTTTAAAGTGTTCAGGAATCAGCAAAACGCTTATAGGTTAATTATTTGGTGGATTATTTTCAACATAACCATTTACTTACAAACTCCAAACTAAACAAGTAAGAATGTTCATGAGTACAGTTCAAGAAAATTCACACTTAAAGTTTTTGATAAAACCCCAAGAATGTTTTAAAATAAGGGATCTTCTTGACTTTGGAAAGATTGTAATATGAGAGGACAGATGAGAGGAGCCCTTGGAATCACCTCCAACATGTGCACTTAGGTGAGTAATGATGAGTGAAGAGATCACTGTTTAATTTTTAGGTTATTACAGGAAAAGGATATTTGCTTGAAATCTTGCTAATCAAAGCTTGGGTACATGACTATATTTAAAATAAAGAAGCTTATCTGTAATGGATAATTTCCTCAAGCTGTTTGATGAAACGAAATGCTTCTAGGATTCTCTTTACCAACAGGCCCAGGGATTGTTGATTCATTTCTCAACAGATCCTTATCGCTCTAAATACACAATCAGGCTCATGACTAAATACACCTTGACTTGTGTTTGCCTTTACTTATGATTTTTCCTCTTTTGGGGCTTAAACTGTAAACTCTCCTTGCAAACTAGTGAGAGTCTTTCTCCTTCCCGCTGTTCCCTACCAACAGGAACATTTCAGAAAGTAACATTCTTAGAGGGTGAACCTGTGAAAGGAAATTTAAAGGCAAGCGTTTGCTCTAGGAAAAGGCAGAGCAACGACAGCTTTTGCTTCAAGGCTGTAACGGCTTTGTCAAGAGTAAGAAGAGTCTCAGAAACCCAGAAAAAATTGGGAAATAGGCTCTGTCCTTTCCTATCTTTCCAGGCCCTACCTTCATTCCATAGAAAGAGAGCTCCAGATGGGCTGTAAAGTCTGCCACAGATTCATTTTCTTTTGTTTGAAGGTTTGAATAATTGACCAGTCAGTGTGGGCAGGAAAGACTCTAGGAAGAGCTTTTAAAAGATTGGCTGCTATTTTGTGAACTTTTTCTGGTCTGTAAGGGGACTATGTTGGAGATGAAGGATCCTGAATATCACTCTTGGGGCTATGCCATTCTGCCTCTTGAGTCTACTTTTGGGCTTCACCAGCTCCTACCAGGATGTGCATAAGCTGGTAAAGATCTGCCATCCCAGAGTCACAGGCTCCGATGAAGACTCGAAATTCTTCAGAAAACTTTTGGGGATCCTTCTCAGGTTTAAGAAATTCTTTAACTATGCTCCTTAGTTTGGTCTTTGACCAAGAAGTAAAAGATATCCAAAGAGCATCACCTGTAGCCTCTGATGCTCTTATTTTAAAATGGAATTGTTTAATAGTCTCTTTAGAGTGGAAAGGAGGTTCAGACAGAGGATTAGTAGACCCTGAGTACTCAGGTGAAGGAGGATAGAGAGGAGCAGCAGGAGTCACAGCAGTCTCACAGTCTTTTGTTTAGGGTACCTCTTGTGTTTGTAATTGTTCATTAGCCTTTTGCAATGAATCCTTCAATAAAGCTATTTTGGAATCTTGAAGCCTTTTGGAGGCTTCTGCATGCCAGTTAAAATAGGGATCCTATTCTGTTTGTTTGGTTTGGGAACCCTTGCTTTCAAATGCAGTTCTTTAGTAAGATTTTGCCATGCTTGTAGCTGTCTACAGCTTCCAGGGCCTAGTTCTTAAAACTAAACAGGTGTCCTGGAAGGTGGAGCACTCAATTCTTGGGAACTTGTGCTGTTTTACAGTGTACCTCATTGAATGGAAATTTTCTTGAGGTTGCCTCATGACCTAATGTCAGTCTAACCCAAGAAGCTATACAGCATTAACCTTTTAAGTTAAAGACTGAGTGTTGAAGTCTCTCCTTAATGATATGACCAACTTATCCTAGCGCAGGAGTCTTAGACTTGGGTGGTAATTGCTCTAACAGCTTCTAATTATTCGACATATGCCCACCAATTTTGCAGCTTTGGCTTCTGAAATTCCCATTAACGACAGCTCTATTATTCCTTTACCTCATGTGGACATTAGCAGAAACCGACAGTTACTGAGGAAATGGAATTGTGGACACCAGCAGTAATCAAAGAAATGGTACTGAGGACTGGCCAAGGGCTAAGGACTGGAGCTCTAGGTGGAATTGTCTGCCACTTCAAGATGACTCCCTAAGCTCTGGAGCCAATCATGTATTAACCGAGGGTTAAAGACCTATGCTCTATTAGAGCGTCCTGTTAGTCTAAACTGACCTGTTAACCCTGGACCGGGAACCAATAAAAGTGAACAGTTCGGATGCAAAAAATGGAGTTCAGATATGAGAGGAACTTACCCATGGCTCTCCAAAATGGTGAGAAAGACAGAACTCAAAGGCTTCAGTGGGTACTGACACCTGTGTTCCTCATTGTCCTCGAAACTTCGGATCCCATTGCTACCACCAAAACTATTAAAAAACAAAATTCAACTGAGTAAAATTTAAAGATCTTATTAGTTTTAGTCAATGATTCATGAATCGGGCAGCACCCAGTCTAGCAGATAGAAAGGAGCTCTGAAGAGCTATACAAGGCAAGAGATTTTATAGGCAGAAGGGAGCAGGAACAAAGAAGTCGTACTAAGCAAAAAAAGCAGATTGGTTACCACAAGGTTACTTTCCTGATAGGGGATGGCAGGGCTCTATCAGGCAGATTACCTAACTAGCGCTGATCAGATGATTCCTGACTGACTGGTTTAAGATTCCATTTCTGGCAGAACAAAAACTAATTAAGTTAATCTCAGTTTGGTGATGTGGGCCTTAGCATAAGAAACTCCATTTTGAGCCTGTTGTCTTGTTTTTAACAGGACTTAATTGGAATCTAGGCTGATAATTTTAAAAAGTCCAAGAGAGTGGTCATGGCTCTCATTATCTCCCACAATATAGAGTGGTGATGTAGACATTTGACTCTTCAGTTTAGGACTTTCTCTCTTCAAGAGTGCTCAAAAGGGGCTGGCCCCGTGGCTGAGTGGTTAAGTTCGTGCTCTCCGCTTTGGCGGCCAGGGGTTTCGTTGGTTCAGATGCTGGGCGCAGACATGGCACTGCTCATCAGGCCATGCTGAGGTGGTGTCCCACATAGGACAACCAGAGGCACTCACAACTAGAATATACAACTACGTAGGGGGGCTTTGGGGAGAAGAAGAATGAAAGAAAAAAAGGAAGAAGATTGGCAACAGATGTTAGCTCAGGTGCCAATCTTTAAAAAAAAAATGTGTTCAGTAGAAATTCATGGAAGTGGTAAGGCATACAGTTGCTGCTCTTTTCACCTTATAGTAAATTGCTTCATCTATTGTCTGGATCAGACTTCAAAAACAGAAGGAATTGAACAGACCTGAAAGGGATTCCATGGTAGGCATCATTGACCAGCCAGGACGCAATATGAGGCCACTGAATAGAGTCAGGAGAGGTGGTTGGGTAGAGAAACACGGCCTAGTCTCAGCTCTGCTGTTACTAATAGGGTGTCCTTGGGAAAGTCACCTCACTTTCCTGGCTCTAAATTCCCTCAGCTTTATTAAGGGGATTGGATTAGAATGATTTCTAAGTTCCCATATGGTTCCCATCAAGTCTGTCCTCTCCCATTCTAACACTCCTGGATCTGGTGAATAAGTCTACGTGTGTCCTGCATAAACCTGTCATCATATTACACACTTTGATTTCATCTTCTTCCATGTTTTCAGCCTAAACAGTCATAGGTATTTTCTCGTACAGAAGCTACCTTACCTCCTCTATGACTCTAATCAGATGTTCTTCTCTTATCTTCTCCAGCTGTGTTAAGTCATCTTTAAAGTTTCTTGACCAAGTACTTCTTTTCACTGCCTTGGAGACGAGAAGCACAGGAAAGAAACTAAACAAGGCAAGCTTCCTGTTTCACAATTTGCTTCCTTTTTAAAAGTGACTGGCGGTTTATTGGTTCTTTTGACCAAATAGCACCCTGTACTGATATTTTCAAGGCCTAATGATGCTCCTGTCTCTGCTAAGGGAGGAGTCATAGTCGTTGTCTTATAAATAGAGAATGGATTATTTTTACCTCAAAAGGTTATGTTGCTTTTTTGTCCTGTTGGACCTTAAACGCCTGGCTGCATTGCTCAACCCACAGACACACTTGTTGCTACCTCTTGCACTGCCATATTCTCAAATAGAAAACAGGAGGAACAGACCTGCTTCCTCAAACTAAATAGTGCCTTTTTGTCTTCCTGCTTCATGCTCAGGAACGTAAATCTCAGCAGAGTCTCTAGAGGGCCTGGGCCACAAACAGGATAATATCCCCCAGTGTAAGCTCTAGGGCTTGAATACTGATATGTAGAAGATTAGTGAATGGTGCTGGTGTTTCTGAAACTGGACTTGGGATTTTATGTGGATGGCTTTGACCCTGCTACATCCATCAAACTCATGAATCACAGATGGCCCCTGTCCTTGTCCTGAATGCTGTGCTGTCACAGAGGTAAAAACCATCCAGACTAGAGAGTGTGAGAGATACCCATAGCCAATATGCTTTCACCTTTATGAGGCCATTCTTGACGCCAACCTGATGTGTTTTCTATGGTTACTAGAACATTGTCATTGTACTCTTCATCACTGTTTCCTTTACTTCTCTTTCAACATCTTTTTGTAAAGTCAGTATAAAAATAAGATTCAGGGGTTGGCCCCGTGGCCGAGTGGTTAAGTTCGCGCGCTCCGCTGCAGGCGGCCCAGTGTTTCGTTGGTTCGAATCCTGGGCGCGGACATGGCACTGCTCATCAGACCACGCTGAGGCGGCGTCCCACATGCCACAACTAGAAGGACCCACAACGAAGAAGATACAACTATGTACCGGGGGGCTTTGGGGACACAAAAGAAAAAATAAAATCTTTAAAAAAAAAAAAAAATAAGATTCAGATCTGTAATCTGCATGATATCTTTAAATATGTTTTTTAAAATAAGTGAGACATGAATCCAGACATGGTTATGAAAGAATAAATGTTCAAGTCAATTGGCCCATTTTTAGCAAAAATAATTTGGCAGAGCACCTGCATCAGTCACTAGGCCTTCATTCATTTAGTAGATATTTAGTGAGTTGTTAATATGTTACAAACACTTTTCTATTTGAACAGGCCTGTGTAGTACCTCCTCTTTTGGAGGCTTACAAATTAGCCAGAAGGACAAAGAGTAAACAGGTAAATGTAATTACACAGAAGACAGAAGTAAGCCTAAAGAATCGAAGATATAGAGAAGTCGACTTTGAGGCAAGCATTAACGGTAGGAACTCATACTCCCAATCACGTTATGCATACTAAATTTTATTCTTCATAACAGCCTTGTATTAGTTGCTTGGGCTGCCATAACAAAATATCACAGCCTGGGGGGCTTAACCAACAGAAATTTATTTTCTCACAGTTCTGGAGGCTGGAAGTCTCAGGTCAAGGTGTCAACCGATTTTCTTCTGAGGCCTCTCTGCTTGACTCGCAGATGGCTGCCTCCTTACTGTGTCCTCACCTGGTCTTTCCCACTTGCACATATCCCTGGCATTTCTCTGTGTGTCCTAATCTCCTTTTATAAAGGTACCAGTCAGATTGGAGTTTTAGGACCACCCCTAACTGTCCCATTGTAATTTAATTACCTCTTTAAAGATGCTTTCTCCAAATACAGTCATATTTTGTGGTCCCGAGGGCTACAGCTTCAACACATGACTTTGCGGGGGGACACAATGTGGCCTATAACAAATCCTGTGTGGAAGATACAGTCATCTCCACAGATGAGACCCAGAGAGGTAAAGTAACTTCCCTGGGACTTGAGCTCCAAGATCTATGCATTTAATCACCAGGGCCATGTTTAAGGGAACAATCAACTGAGGAATTTAGGAGATAAGTTATTGGAAACCTGCAAAACTGAGATGCATCGTGCAGCCAAAAGCATAGGGCATGGATTCAGGTGGTCTGAATTCAAGTCCCAGCTTTCCTACTTACAAGTTGTGTAGGGTTAAGACGATTAATCACACTGAAATTTTTTTTATCCCATCCCCTCTGAAACTTTCTATTCTTTTCTATTGCATTTTTTAAAAAATCCTGGTAATAATCTGTTAAACTGATTGCTTGACACACTCATGGGTTGTGGGCCACATTCGATAAACTGCACCACGTCGCTTTTGTGGCCAAATGTGAATTCTTCTTAGTTAGCGACCCTAGCTCAGAGTTTTGGTGTTCTGTAGACTTCAGTTACCTCAAGACAACTCAGAAGAAGGAAGTTACATTCTCTTAATGAAAAGAAACACACACAATGTGGTTTTAATTTTATTTTGAATGTTATTTCTTTTTCTCTGCTGAGTGCTGCTCCCCAGTCGTCTCCTCCCGTGCCCTGACTGATAGAGTGGGAACACAGGAATTAACAGCAAAGTGACTGGCTATCAGCTTTTTCATGACACTCTCTCTACATGAGCAAATGCTGCTGGGTCCCCTACCTCCCCTCATAGTCTGAATTTAACTTTCTTGGTACAGGATGAGAACTGGGAGAATTACAGTCTCCTCATGTAGGGTATGGCAAGTGACACTTACTACCTCAAGACAGGAAATGGATAGAACACTTGCAGCCTTGTAAGGATCTGTGTGTGTGCACAGGCGCACAAGAGCTAAGAATGAGAGTGAGAGGAAGAATTAGCTCTAAGAAGTAAGATCCCTCATGGAGAATGATCTTCAATACATTAACTTGGCCAGTAAAGAAACATAGGCCAGTGGATACCATCTCTGCCAGTCTTCCCAATCAAGTAAGTCTCTCCTCTTTTCTTGAGAAGGAGCTACCAAAAGGGTGAAGAGAATGATGGCAGCATCCTCCTCAGAACATCCTCAAGGGAAGTTAAGTACAGAATGAAAATCTCTAGCACTCCCTGAGAAGTCAGAACTGCTGGTGAGAGTACGTATTTTATGACCCAAGAAAGGAATGTAGGAGAAGAAGAGAGGAGTTCCCTCTACATTTGTCACCCAGCCTTTCTAGATGTGTCACAAAATCAAAGAAATACTAAAGTTTATAAATCCAGAAAGATTAGTTATCATGGAAAGGTAAATACAGTGCATTCTGCTCGTAGGGTGATATCTCAGAATCTCCTGTAGGAGTTGGAAAAAGCTGCCCTAGTGATCTCAAAAGCTTCCTCAGCTCTTTTCCATCCCTCTCCTCCCACACACAGAAACTGAGAACCATTGATCTCCAGCAAGAAGGGCACAGTGCCAAGAAGAAGCCCCCAGCGAAAACCAATATTTGAGACGTAAGCAAATGAGGATGAACTTGTAAAATAGACCAAGAATCTTCTAGAAAACTGAGGAACTCCAAGAGAGGATGGACTCCTAGGAGCCAAAAAATAGATATTTCAAAAAAGGAAGTGTAGTTAACAACATCAAATGCTGCTGATTGGTCAGTAATATTAATAATATTATCATTTTTAATGACAATAATGTGGTACGTGTCTTATACAGGTTATCTCATTTGATCTCTTAAGAATTGCATGAGGTAAAACTGAAGATTGAAGATGTTAAATAACCTGCTGGGGTTTAAATTGCGGTCTGTATGATTCCAAAGGCCATCCCCTTTCCAGGATGTTCTGCGGTTGTTGGTGGTCTTGGAGGGAGTGGTTTTGGTAGAATGTGAGGTGTAGAAGTCAGAGGGCTCTGAGCTGACGCTGTTAACGGGATTTAAGGGAAGGTAGGCAGTGAGGACACTGAAGCTTAACTGTGACAAAAAATGAGAGAGATGGAACCAGAGAGGGGAAATGGCGTCCAACGTAGGCTTTGTTTTCTTTATAAGATGCAGTTTTGTATGGTAATGAAGATCACCTGCTCTTCATGCGAACTGTACCGAGTGGGGCCTCAGGCTGCTCCTCAGCTGTGTGTTACTCAGTCTCGCAGTGCCTCTGCGTGCTCACCTCACAGGACATTTGTGAGGATAAAAAGGGAGCTGATACAGGGAAAGTGCTTAGTAAGTGTTATTATTTTAAACATTTATGTGCCAGTTTATATGTTGGTGAGAGAAAGGAGAGAGTGAAGAAGAAAACACTGGCAAGGGAAGACAAAAAAGGAGTTCTCTGGGACATTTGTCAATGCCCTCCAGCCAAAGAGCACTAGGAACACACCCGTGGTTGAAGACTAGATTTATTACTTCTGGCAGCAAAGGGCGATGCAAACCTAGAAAAACTGAGGGAATTTTTCTACTGAGGCTGGTAGAAAATACTTCTTGTAGAAATTTTGCTTGAGTTAGGTGATTTGGGGAGGGTTGAAGGATGGGGGTTTTGCTTTCGTGGGACTAATTCTGTGATTAGATATCTGAATAGATCTTATCTAGGAGAAAAGGCTAGATCGAAGCTGAAGATGTAATTGGTAAAGAAGCAGCAACCACCCCTATTAGCCAGCATCATAGTCTGTTCAGGGTGCTCTAACCCAATACCATAGACTGAGGGGCTTAAACTATAGAAAGTTTTTCTCACAGTTCTGGAGGCTGGGAAGCCCAAGATTTGGTATCTGATGAAAACGTGTTTCCTGATTCTTAGCATCTTCTTGTTGCGTCCTCACTTGGCAGAAGGGGCAAGGGACTTCCCTGGGGTCTCCTTTATAAGGGCACTAATCTTGTTCATAAGGGCTCCATCCTCATGACATAATCACCTCCCAAAGGCCCCACTTCCTAATACCATCACAGTGGGGATCAGGTTTCAACACATGAACTCAAACAGTTGATAGCAGCTGGGAGAAGGAATGTTTGGTCATTTTTTGTGAATTGGACAAAGTTCATGTTTTGTATGTGTTCAAACATGATGGCAGAGTGGTCTAGTTTTTAAAGACTGGCCCAGAGCTAACATCTGTTGCCA